TGGTCACGAGACAACTATATCAACCAAAATTTGATTAACACATGTTATCGCCGACAACCAAAAGGAAAATGGACATTGCTTTTGTTTTATATTAATGAATAACTCATCGTTCATTATTACATAGCTTGATAAAATATTAGCATGGCTCAGTCAATGGCCAGGGTGCCCTCCTCTAACTACGCCACTGTAAGTGTGATTTATGATGTATTGTTGAGCGAAAACAATCTTGTAGGATCTGAGTAAACTCAGATGATAAAAAAACACGGCAGAATATAACCAATATCTTCTCAGCTACGCATCGTAGTTAAAAATAGTAAACCATTTCAAATACTAATTTAATAAAACGTATTTTTAAGGTTTCATTTAGAATGAATTATTTTTTTGTGTTTGAGTCGTGAATTTATTTAAAACGTCCACATGAAATGTGTCACTCTTTAAATGTGATTTATTTTTGATACTTTGTACATTTTGATGCATGCAATATGTACAATGAATTATATTCATACTTCAAATCATTTTAAGATCATTATTATTTTTGACGCTTTCACCTTTCATATGGTATAAATTTATTGACGACGACAAAAAAATATGTCCAAAATACTAATGAGATTATTTCGGATTTGTTGAGCGATTTAGCTTTGTAAAATGCGGAATGATAATATAATTTTGGCATTCGCGGTATAAATCATAATAACATAAAGCGAAAAGAAAAATATATTTTGCACAATATTTTCGACACACAAAAAGAGACATTAAGGTTTTTTTGTTTTTTTTTTCTACGAGATTAAAGAAAATGTTGATTTGTTTAAGTAACTTTTGTTTTTGGTATAAATAATAATAGGTTTATGTTATATTTGTATTTTATTTTCCCTACTCGATATAACCCAAGATTTTCAATTGGGTATTGAGGTAAGCTTTTCGGAGTTTCTTAATGAAAACAAATATTTTAGAATTTTTTTTTTACGTAGGCTCGCCCATAATGTGACTCAGGTTGATGGGGTCGGTTAGTAGACGAAATATAATAATGCTGTAATGCCTACGTCGTTTTACTGAGAATAATATTATACTCTTATGGTCGTTCTGAAATATCGATCACTGTGGCAACAGTAGTTCTTAGATGTGCGTAAAGAGCAAAGTGGTGACGCTGGAGGAGGCCTATTATACTATTAATATAGTATTAAATCGGTAATATGGTCTAGTAGGATAAATGACGTGGTAGGTATTATTTTTTATTAAACGTCGAGATCGTATAAACGGAAATATTGCGGTTAATGGGTTTTCCGTTTTTTCTGTATCTTTAAAAAACTGTTTTTTAGACAACGGAAATTGAACGTTTGTATTAAAACGTGATAAAATTAAAATGCCTCGCTGAGCCGGAGAACAATTACGATGGGATGGGATAATGAAATGTTCTTTTAATTACGTGAAAATATGCTTTATAATAAGTAAATGATACGAAAGTTAACACTATATAGGATGCACTAATTATACTTTAAATTACGCCATTTTTTTATGAACTTAATTTAGCATATAATAATTGGTTTGCAAAAAAAAATTATTTATATATTTTTCGTACTATTGCTTGTAATGAGCAATTAAAAAAAAACACCTCTTAACTTTAATCGTTTACAGCACTCATTTAAAGTAAATAATTGTGTTGAACAAAAGAAAAAAATGAGAAGCAAAGCAATTTTTTATGAAATAAAATCACTTAAATTGTGTACAAGATTTGTATAAGGCGTTAAAAGTGTAAAGAAAAAATTATTATTATTTTCGGCGTAGAATTTTTTTTATCAGTGTTCAGTTCGCATTATATTTTTGGAACAAACTTAAATGAGTTGGTTTTTTTTTTTTTTTATTAAATACTTAATGTAAAATCAGTTTTTATTATTTTAGAATTAATTATTAATTCTGATCAGGATTATTTTTTGATTTTAGTTTTATTGTGACAATATTGATTGGATGTCGTTATTTATTACAACCATTGAAACTTTTATACGTGCAATTTTAGTTTTAATAATCTAATTAGACATTCAACTCACTGATATTTTGTAATAATGATAGTTTCTAGATAATAATAATAAATGGATCTAAATAATGCGAAAATTTGTCGGATTAAAATGCAAATGTGTTTTATAGCATAGTAATAACAACATCTAATAGTAAGACGTGAAAGCTTACTAACTATAATTCATAAGGACTCATTGTGTACAAGCATTATGATTTTGCTAAACAAATCTTTCTATGGATGGTAAAATTTCAGTTTAAGGATTACCCGATTCAAGTATAGTCTTATAAGACTTAATTCAACTACGTAATCCACGATAATTTAGCTGATTTAATGTTTTTATAATAGTTAATGGTATAAAAGTGTTCATTATTCAAATTGAATATAATATCACTCATGTATTATATTGACCAGGTTATAGCTCCCATTGGTATTATGGTTTTAAAATTTTATTGTAATTACGAATATTTCAAGTTAAAAACTTTAAATTTATAAAATGATCAAGTTTTTATCAGCCGAGTGGTAATGTAACTAAATGTAATAAGTTAGTTTAAATACAAATAATTCGAATCTTATGAAAGTTATTATACAATAAAAATCATGAGTATAATGTAAACTTAAATAGTCTGTTTAAATACTATTTTATGTGAAGTGTACACGTTTTATTGGAAATTTCATAAATATATATATTATGTTCCATATAAAATAAAAACAAAATTATATTTAAATTAAATTATTTGATGTATCGTAAAATGTAAAATAAATTAACTATCGTTAAGTAAAAAATGTAATATTTTATGGAAACTAAACGCACGAGAGACCAGTTATAGCCAAAATATCATTTATGTAATAACATTGTAAGCTGTAACAGATGTTTTATCTTAAAAACACGTATAGATATTTTGCATTATTCATTTTACTTTTGGTATAGTTTATTTTCTCGTCATATTTATATTCCTTTTTATGATGATAGAGAGACATCTGGATAAAGGTATTAAGAATAAAAAATTGGCGTGTAAAACTACATTATTATAATATGAAAGGAATCAGTTAAACGGAGCCAACCTTTCCAGAGAGTTATTAATCATAAAATTGAACACTATGGAATATTTTCAATGTAAGATATAAAAACCTTACGACCAAATATCAATTTAAAAAATAAAAAGGTCAATTAATGTTATATAAACTATAGACGTGACTAATTTATATTTGTTTGAAATTTAATTTAATAACTTCCAATAATCGGATGTTTTGGAATACTGTTATTGCATTTTGCCGAAGCTTTGATTTCTCATATTTATTTAATACAATAATTAGAGATCTACTTGATAAATAAATAAAAGGCACTGCTATGTACGCAGTATTGATGTATTACCTCCTGTGTGTACACATCGAAATTGGTTATTACTAGTAAGCTAGTTTTTACTTGTCCTGTAATCTTACAATGGACTAATATGTTCCCTCAACGGTTTTGTAATAAAACTTAACATACATATTATATGTGCTTTTTATTTTTATAGAGCTGTATTGATGTAGTTTTGAACATATTGTTAAGAATTTGTAAGAAATACTCATACAAAACAATACATTAGTTCATGTTACAATTAAAAATTAGTTTTTTTAGTTGTAATTAAGAGATACTAATATCAATACTAGAAATATTTCAATGAATCAAATTTATGGTTATTATGAATATATTAAATTTGAATATTTTTGGGTCTAATGAGTCAGTTTAAATAATTATGATAAAATAAATACAGTAAAAATGTTTCTAAAAAAACAATAAAAAATTAATTTAGTACGTATAATCACCATCAAAATATTTAAAAAGTTTATAGTATATTAATTTATAAATTAATATCTCACCATTTATTTGTGTTTAAGTTTCTCGTAATAAATTTATGTAAAGTATAATTGAATTCTCTTAGAAAAAAGTTAAATTGAAAAAAGCAAAAATATTTTGGAATAAGAATTGCATATTTACTGCTTGAGACGTAACCGTATTGTGAATATATGTATACAACGAACAATTTTTATAATAGTAAAAGTTGGAAGCATAGTAGTGTTTGTTTTTCTACAAAGACCTTACTCGCTTGTTATTTAAAAGATTTTGGAAACTTTCGGACTTTAATTTAAATATTATTGAATCACACAGTTTTCGTTTTGCATTTTAGAAATATTACCTCAACTGCACAGTTCGTCCTACTTAATCCTATTATCTCATGTGCATTATGCTCATATGTCGCACAATAGAAATTGTGTGGTGTGATGGCGCGCATGACGTACAGGGCAGGATGGATCGCTTATTAAAATAAATAGCTTTAATATGTCATTTAATACGAGGGGTGTAAATTTTCACACACCCCACGCCTAATCGTCTCCCCGGGTACATAAATTACATTCATGGGCGAAAAATAGCATCATTTATATTAAAAACACTTTATCCATCAGCATGGTGTTGTGACCTATGATTGAAAATGTACTCAGTTTTCGGGTTAATTATAATTCGGGTTTGTTGAATTTCAACTAACTTTTTATCATCTGTCTAATTCATAAAACTCGAGGGTTAATCATATGTTACAAATCATTTTTTTTCTAAACATTTATACCAGGCTCGTTAAAATTAATAATAGAGGTTTTCTTTTTGATTGCTCACTAATTAATAAAATACAAAGTATTTGATTTTTTTTTTTTAAGAAAAACCCTACTGCCGTTATTGTGGTTTTTAATATAATTTTTTTTTGTTTAATAATCAATTTTATATAATAATTTTGATAATAATAATGATTATTTATTTAAATTTTTTACGAGAAAAAAAATTATTTGTATATAAAATCGTTGTTTTTTTTTTTACTTCGAGGATAATTAATGTAAAGGATCATTCAATTGAATATTGTCTTGTATTTTCGGCACTATTTTTAATAATTTATGAAATAAAAGTAATGGTAATAAGTAACTAAGCAATGAGTGTAATTTATATTTGAATACTTACAGTTCTATTTCCTAGATTCTTCACTCTACAGTGAAGATAAGCTGTTCTGCCTACTAATCCAGTTACATTGTTTGGAACTGTTTTGTCGAATAAAGGCCCTTCGATTGGAGGTGGTATATCTTGCAAGAATTCTTGTAAAAATTTTCTGGAGGCTGTGGAATCTAAAAAAAAATTAGGTATTTATTATTGAACTAACTTAGTTTAAGCTTAAAGATTTGATTATTAAACATTTTCAATACTTATTATAATTCTTACCAAATGTGGCGATATCCCGTTTAAAAATATATTTGAAAATAAATCAACTTTTAATTTATTGATACACAAAATTAGTTAATTCTAAAAATTCCAAAAATTAAGATATTCTATTGATATCCGAACCCAAATCTAACCGTATCGTCTATATATATCATAAGTTAATATTTTAATATTCTGCTTTATCTTGGTAGCAACAATTTCGATCAATTCTAAATAATAAATTATATTCAAAACGTGTAGTTAGTTTTCAGTTGAACGTACTTAAATATAAGTATAAAAGTCAAACAAATTGAGTTTAACACAAATTCTATTATTTATTTATTCACGATTCGTGAGTAAACAGAATGGTATGATGGTAAATAAAGAAAAGTTCTAGTAAGTTGTTTAGAATCTTTAATTATGCTCAACTTTTACAATGCCTTTCTTAGACATGTGTTTCGTTCTAAATAAATATTTTAGAGTCAGTATTAAAAAGTTACGATGTAATTAATAATTTTATAATTTTCACTAGATTAATCAAATTTTTGTTTTGAATATTTCAGTTGTATTTACTATTAGCTGTATTGTATGCCATTTTTTTATTAATGTAAACAAGTTTGCTATAATTAGTAATAATTCAAAAGACACACATTGATTTCTAACCAATGATCTACTAAATGTTTCTTTGACTGTATTTAATTAAAACTAAATGTTTCTCTGACTGTATTTAATCAAAACTAAATGTTATATTCTTAATAATGAGATTATAGTGTTTTTATTTATTCTAATAAATGATTTATTAATAAAAATCGTGAAATATTAATCATTTTATATTTCTGTTTGGACTTTGTAACTAATATCGAGTTAAAGTTATAAATAAGTATTTTGATACGCGCTATAATATTTATTAAACATTTTATCTTATAATAAAAAGGAGAAAAAACTGTTTGAGAACTATAAACGCATAAGGGCGCTAAAGTTTTGTGTTAAATATATCAGAGTTTATTTTTTTGACGTCGTAATTTTTGTTATACAACAAAGAGTAAATGAAAGTTAACTTGTCATCCAAAAAAAAGTTTTTTTTTATGTCGTATAAGATTTACTTAGAAGAAAAGACGAACAACACGATTGGAATTTATAATCGCACATTGGGTACCACCAAAAAGTTCGGTTTGACGCAGCAAATGTTAAAAGTACAGCAAACTTGATAACTCCACTAATTCCTAACATGGAAGTTATCTCGTCGTACACAGAAGTTCCCCTGTAATGTTCGCTGAATATTAAATAAAAGATATTACAACGTTGCCTCCAGTGCTTTCAAAATGTAGCTTCAATAATGATGCACACTGTCTAATGCGCTAATTATCGTTTCTCTTCGCGTTATACAACGGTACATGTGAGTGTGGTGTTGCCAGGTGGGGCCGAGGGAGTCCGGGTCTTCCCATTGACAGCAAATAGTCATTTCTAAAATGAAGTGATCAGCAAAAAACGAAAGGTCCAAAATATGGAATTTTATAGATTTGTTTACTACAATAAGGAGGCTTATTATAAAATTCTGGCTACGCCACTGGTGCAAGTAATAATATGCACATGTCCTATTGTCTGCTGCATCATTAACATTTTACAATAACTTGTACGTGCAATATGATTACACATTCTTGTTGCACCAGCACTTGCACATTACTATGCAAATTATAGTTATTCTGCCACCGATAAAACATCACCAACACGTGCTTGACTTGTTGTACCTAATTACAAAGCCTTCAAACATTACATCCTGACCCATTTCACAGATTTCAACTCCCCTAGCCATTCAAGTTTTTCCTAGGCGTTCATTTAGCCGTATACATTAAAGTACGTTAACATGGTTTAAATACCGAATTTGATGTTACCATAAACTACAACAACTGCTATAATGGCATTGTTATTATGAAGTATAGCAAAACCGTAACACAAGTTTTTACTGCAATAATAGTAAGCAAACAATAATCATGTGTCTAATATTCTTAAAATATGAACAGAATAAAAAATGCAAGCTAGTTTAACAGTACTTTATTATTTTTTTTTTTGGACAGTTAAGATAAGTTTTCATTTTGACTTGAAATATTCTTCGATAATTTTGTGGCCGTGGGTTTTTCGTCACGTATTTCCAAACAAAAATATGTACAATTTTTATCACGTGATTTGCATTATGATTGTAAAGAATTTTAACCATAAATAAAAAAGTTCTTACGATAGTACCTTTATCTAACTCGATGCTATTTTACATAGATTAGACCTTTCACGCAGTCTATTACTGTTTTTGAACAGAAATTTCACTGATACGGTACAGCTTTGTTGCAGCAAATAAAATTAGGATAACAAATTTCTCTTTTTCTTTGGTCGACATAGGAAACTCCATGCTAAGTGGCCGTCCTACCTTATTTTAACTAACATGCGACACGTTATTCTTAGTCACGGTATAATCTTATTTCGATGGGCCCCATCCCTTGAGACGAAGTCCATTTCCCGCGAAGACAAACGATTTTTTTCCATCTAAACCAACCGTAGATTTCTTCAAGTGAGTGTGATTTTTTCTCTCTCTGACGTTCGACTATGAAAACCGTACAACCGGAAGATCCCACGGGGGTGGTTCAAGGTATATGCGGCACAATCAGCAGTCGGTATATATTTGCCTTCAGGTCATTTCGTTTCTACGAAAATAACCTTTGGTATTTTACACGGAAACGTATTTACCAATTGTTATATATGAAAATTCACTAATACAGATACCGTGGAAAGTTTTTATAGTAAAAAGAATACTTGCAAAGAAATAGTTGCACACTTTAAAAAAATGTATTTTAAATAACGCAAAAAAACTAGTTTTACCGAACTTTAAATACGCTTTTGAGTTATTCAAAATGGTAATCGCTATGCGAATACCAACGCGCAGTCGAGTAGAAATCTAGTAACCCCAGTGATAACATCTATCTTGTTTTTCGCATAACGATTCCGGGAAAATTCGGAAAATCATAGCCCTAAGCGTTGAGACTTGTATCGGTAATAATCATGGCCCTACCCTTAATTCTAAACGAGTTAAATACAGAAATGAAGTCGATGTGCTTTTAGACTTTAAGTGCAACCTCTATGAGGCAATACAGTGTACTCTTAACATTGTTATAGAACTTCTTGTGAAAACGTCTAAGGAAAAATAACATTATATTTATCTACCTCAATTTAATTTTATTGTAATGTTATCGGAACACTCGAATGATACAAGTCCCGCCATCTGCTATGAATAAGAAGATGCAATTTAATTAAACTTTGTTGTATTGTAGGAAGCAAACTTAATAATACAGCGATTCATAAAAATTATGCCTTCAGTTAATGTTGGGATATTATGATGTAGTGTATCTCTCCGGAATATTTATGCCATGCCAGTACCGCATCACTGAGTAGTAAAATTATGCCTCAATCGCTTTGAGAAATATTCGCAGTGACTAAAATGATTTGCCATTTATATGCCTTCACAACAATTTCAAGTATTTCAATAGATATTTTACTGTCAGTCGTACAATGTAAGAAATAAATAATAATCATATATAATTTTAATAGTTCCTTATAAACGAGTTTGTTATAATTTGAAGCTTAACTACTTAAAATAATTGCTATGGTTAAGTTTACTAATTGTTAAAATACTCATCAAACTTTAGCAACAAGTCTTTGTTTTTGGAAAGAAGTTTGGAAGAAGTTCTGGATATATGAAAATACTACATAATTATAGATTGCAGCAAGCTATGTAAAATTCTTAACATTTGTTGGCAAAGTACTATTTGATTAACGTCAAACTTTTTTTAATTACAGCTTTTCAATGGAACATTATCAAAAATCGAATATATATTAAAAAAAAACTCTAATTTTAATAATAATAAAAATACAAATTTCAGGTCTTCTTTAAAAAGAAACATTAAAGGTGACGCGCAATATATTGTAAAGAAAATATATTTGAGAAAATTTTATTTTTCGAGTTATAATAATTCTGTTTGAAAAACATTTTACAGTAAGCTTTATTTTTTAACCACCAACAGCTATATATAATCGATATCCATTATCTTGTAAGTACTATTTCATTGGATTAAATTACAAAAAAGCGAATGCGGTTAATAAAAAGTAAATAGTTGAAATCAGCAAAAAAAAAAACTACAGTATAAAACATGATATTTTACCCAACATTAAAAAAAAGTAAATTGTACAAAGGCAGTAATTGTTCATTATAATTAAGTATATTATGGTGAAATCTTTAATCAACATAATATTTTTTATTATAGTTGTAAAATGCAGTTATTGACCTTATTTCCATCGTAAACTTTACTTTGATTGTTCATAAATTATTTTTATTAATTTTTCAATGATGTAACTCCATAGTTGATCTTTCGGGTTTACCAGAAGACATGAGTTTTAACCCTTTTAAATATGGAATTTTTAATAAAGTTACGGTTATTTAAATTGAAATTTTTTAAATTTATAATTATCCGTTTTATGCGTTATTACTTGTACGCGGTTTAATATTAAAGATTTTCTATAAAATATAGCTTTTGTTTTGCAGTCTTATACACCACATAGATATATTAATTACATTGACGATACAATAACTTAACGTGTTATGTACTGTAATGTCACGAAATTATGAAGGCCTATGAATTTCATTAAGTGATTAACATCGTGTATTGAAATTTTTTTTTTTTTAGCCATAAATTATATTGGAACTCCGGTGTGTACACATCTGGTGGTGATTTAAAATTTTAATTAGATTAGCGTTTAAGGAGGTTGTGAAACAACTATCTCAATGGATGCATAGTAAATTAAAAGAGAAATTATTTTAAGATTAAATGTTAGTATTTAAATTGAATAATCATAATAATAATAATTGATTTGACGACGCCCTGTA